AAAATTTCAGATACCATCAACATAAAAACATGCAAAAGAGTACATTGGTTTTTAAATTATTTAGAGAACACACAAGCAAAAATATTTGGAAGGTCACTGGACTAAGGCAGTACTAGTTGATATCTAGTTTTCTCTGTTAATTAAATTGTATTGATGTAAATATGACCTACTTTCTTCCATGACAGATTTGAAGTGTCTTTAAATAGACATAGACTCATTTTCCCTTTTTAGTTTAATGCATTTCTGTAAGCACTTAGAAAATGTTGCTATTGGCATTATGAAAATATTTATTGCTATGCCAAGTTGTTCTCTATGAACATCTGCTTCTGACTTTTGATGGGGGAGGTGAAGGGACATTAAAAAAACCTACTTAAAACCTATATATCCATTCCTCTAACTCTGCCTAAATAGCTACATATTATATGCCATGTACTAGTTATACATTGGAAATACAGATGTAAATAGAAATACTTCTCTCTTTAGGGACTCAGTCCTGTAGCTGACTCAAACCAGCAAAAATTTACAGCAATTAACAAGAGGTACATACCATGCTCCAGGATGAGAGTAAGACTATGATGTGATTTGAGAACTACAAATAGCTCAGTATGAAAACAAAGGATATTTTCAGAGGTAATATTCAAACTTGAGATGCCCATCCATCATTCAAACAGAGCCAACACTAGTGTACACATGATGAGAACATGGAAATTCACTTGGCAAATTATTTAATATTTATTGAGTACCCACTGTGTATCTGATACATATAAGAAAGTGGGGGAGAAAGAAGGAAACATAAGCCATGAAAGATCTTACCACCAAAGGGCCAAGAGACAGAGAAGTAAACCAACTACAGCATTAGCCTACAGTAATAAAATGCTACCGAATACACATATGAAGTCTTACAGGAGCAAAACAAAACAAAACAAAAACAGGAATAGAGGAAGGGAGTTTTCCCAAAACAGTAAAGCAAAGCTAGAGATGTCTCTAACGGAGAATAGGAATGAACTAGATAGGGAATGGGAGAAGTAAAGGAGTAAGACAAAGAGTCGAAACAAAGCAGTTCAGATAAAAGCTGGAGGAAACCAAGAAGTATGGCAAAAGAGACTTATAAAAGCCAGATCACCAAGAGCAATTAGTAGTAAGCAATCAAGCTGTAAGCCACAGAAGGGTTTCAAGCATGAATAAGCTCAATCATTCTATCAAGCAAAGTAAAAGATCTACTAGGAGTGGAAGGAGGGAATGTGGCAAGACTAAAGGGAACATCAATGTGATGAACTACATATGTAGTTCTGGGATGATATAATTTACAATGTATACAAAGCAAGAAAACAAAGGAAAGGACACTTGGAAATCAGGACAGGAAGATGGAGATGTTGGGAAGAGGGGATGTTTAAACTGTGTGAGTTATATGAATGCTTACTTTATAATTACATATTAAACTTTGCTGTGCACTTTTATGTACTATATCTCAAATTTTAAACAAATTTTAAAAGAGGGAGAGGTTGGGGTGCTGGATGGCTCCGCTGGTTTAGCAGCCGACTCTTGAAAAAGGACAAACTAGGAATCCCAATCAGGTCTCCCATTTCAGAGTCTAGGTGGAGAGTGAAGCCATTCACCAAGGCAGGACTTTTAAGAGATAACTGTTTTTGGGGCGCCTGGGTGGCTTAGTCAGTTAAGCGTCCGACTTTCGCTTGGGTTATGATCTCGTGGTTCGTGGGTTCGAGCCCCGCGTCGGGCTCTGTGCTGACTGCCAGCTCGGAGCCTGGAGCCTATTTCAGTCTGTGACTCCCTCTCTCTCTGACCCTCCCATGCTCGCGCTGTCTCTCTCTCTCTCTCCTAGAAATTAAAAAAAAACAAACAAAACAAACAAAAAAAAAGAGAGAGAGAACTGTTTTTGAGAGAAAGAATTCAATTTTGGACATTTTGAAGCTGAGTTGCCTGAATGACATTCACATGAAGATATATCTAGTCGGTTTTTAAATATAAAGGCCAAAAACTTAGAAAAAATGTCTTGACTGACGACAAAACTTTGGGCACCATAAACTTATAAGCAGTACAGTAGTTAAGGCTGTGAGCTTGAAAAAGGTTAGCCAAGGAGAGCTTTTAAAAGAAGACCTGAACCTGGGGCAGTTGGGAAGCTCAGTGGGTTAAGCGTCCAACTCCTGATTTTGGCTCAGGTGGTAATCTCAAGGTTCGTGGGTTCAAGTCCCACATCTGGTTCTGCACTGCGGAGCCTGCTTAGGATTCTCTCTCTGCCCCTACCCTACTCACACATTCTCTTTCTATCTCTCTCTCTCAAAATAAGCAAACTTAAAAAAAAAGAACTGAACTTAAATGAGATTTTGAATTATTAGCAATATCCATCCCTTTGACATATAAGAAACCTAGAGTCCAAATATCTTATCTTAGAATGTTAGCTTTTCAAATTTTCACTTGATTGTTGAATAAAGAAAAAAAGCCCATATTTTTCCAAAGACAGTTATAAATGAGAGAAATATCCATTCATATAAGCCATTTCCCCTTTTATACTATTTAGTGGAATACATGTGAAATTCAATCATCTTTTCCTCCTGAATCTCAGGCAAAATAAGATCTGGGACAACTTAATTATGATTCCAAGAGTATAACTCTCTATATCTGGCTCAGCCATCACTTGGTTTTTGGTAGAACCAGAAAGTAAATCTGCTGTAATACTAGATTTTACAAGCAGCCGGCAGAAAGTGGGTTGACTGTTATAGCACCTGATGGCAAGCAGCTGAAAGGAATTGGCAATTCTTTCATTTCTCCCTACTTATAAACTCTAGATAGAGCAGAAATAGAGTAGGTAAAATTAGATTTATGCTAAAACAAAATTCCTACATTTTCAAATAACACAACTGCCAAGAGTCCCTTACTTCCCCTAGAATGAAATATTAAAAAGTAAAATTAGCTTGGATTTATGTTGGAAATACTGTAACGCAAACTAAAAAGTTACTATAATTACATCTGGTAATGAAATGATGTTTAGTACTTGTTAGTCTCATGGCACCTAGTAGAAACTAGACTTTCAATAAGCACAAAATAATACACACGGACCACTAATGAACAGCACAAATAAATACCAATGAACTCAAAATAGTTTGCTTTATGCCTTAAAGATGCACAAGGGTCTGAGATTTCTTTCTGTATAAATGCCGGAATATAAAATAATACCACTTATACAGTGATTTATACAGTTAAGTATTCATAAAATGAAATTTTGTAATTCAAAATAAGAATTACATTAACATGACACAAATGCTTTTGGTAAAATAATTCATAAAATTTGAGAAAAAATGCCATACCTACACTCCCATATACAATGTTTATCTCTTTACATCTAAAGTAAAATGATTCTGAGATATATTCTCGAAATACATTTTCTTTTCTTGTGAGAACACTCAGAGATCACTATAAGCTTTAAAAAGATGCAGTTTTCAAAAAACTGATTAACACCATTCTTTGGCCTTTCCATCATGCTTAATCTTACTCAGAAAACAAAGATTACATCAGCAGAGTACAATCATTCTCTTTACAACTACAGAAAGTATCTAATTATTATCCGTTGAGCTAGAACAGATTACTTACAGGAGACAAGTTGATTTAAGAAAAATATAAAACACTAAAGAGACTTAGGAATGAAAGTGATGCACACATCTGTTCAACAAATTACTGGTTATCTCCCAGGTGGAAAGCACCATACTAGGTGCAGTAAGAGAAACAAGAAGTAAAACATTCCATCACTATTTACAAACTTCAGACCACTCTACAAGAAGACTTAAAAAACAACATAAGAAATCACAAGGCAATATATCCTTAAATATCAAATTAGCAATTTAAACAGTAAGATCTGAGGAGACATTACGTTCAACTCTTTTGAAGGCACTTCAAGCCTATGTACTTATTGCAGTTTTTATTATAGCAAGTCAGGCAGATTCTTGAAATTACCGTAACTTCAAAAAAAGTAGCAGCACTGGGGTGGCAGCATCTCACTATTCAGCCCCTTCAGCGGAAAGGAATAATTAGGTAGGAAATTAGATTAAATGACCACTAAGATCACTTTCTTAGATCCACAGTTCTTCCTTAAGAACATACAAAATCTGAAATACAGTGGAGTATTATGTGTGAAAAGAAACTCATAAAGCACCAAACTGTTGTATAAGGCAACGGTTTTCAAACTCTGATGAACATCTAAATGCATCCAATAACACTCAAAGTACTAGATAATTTGTTAATTACATAGATGCCTATCTACTGTCTCAAACCTTTGGAATCAGAATCTATAAATGTGCAGTCAGGGCAGCACTTGTATTTTGAGCAGCTCCTCAGTAGTTCTGATGCACAGTGTGAGAACTAAATGTTATATGATTAAGTACACAATCTTCATTGGCAAGGAAACCTGGGTTCAAATGCCTATACTAATACTTACTAGCACTGTGACCACCAACTACCTCCCTAACACTATTTCTAAACCAAAAAAAGGGGGAAATGCCACCCATATATCATGTGGTTGTTCAAAGGATTCAAGATGATTAACATAAAATGTTGAATACAATTCTTGGCACATTTAGTAAGCACTGAATGAATTCATTCAACAAACATTTATTAAGCACTTACACAGTACCAGATGAAAAACACCTCATTAATTTATTAATAAATATGGCAACTCTGTAATGGTGTCATGTGAACATATAATTATGGGACTATCTTAACCAGAAAAGTCTCCCCCAAACTGAGCTGAACAGGCAGTAACTGGATGAAAAGGAAAAGAAGCACATTTCCAGGGGGAGGAAGCATCATAACCAAAAGCCACGTACCTGAAGCAGAACAGAAAGAACAGGGTGACTAGGGGAGAAAGGAATGCCAGAAAGCACTATGGAAATGAGGTTCAAAAGGCAACTGGGGGGGGGGGGGGCACAAACAGGTTGTTAAGGATATTAGTTTCTCTTAAAAACAATGGAAGCCACTGAACGGTTTTAAACATGAAGACAATATGTACAGATCTGCATTCTGAAAAATTAACTCAGTCTGGTGTGGAAAACTACAGAGCTGGTCACAGTAAATGCAAGTAGACCAACCATAATTAGGAAGCTGGTTATACTCCAGATGAGATGATGATGGCCGGAATGAGAGTACTAGTAATGACAATGAAGAGTGGGCATGTTCAAGAAGCCAAACTAACAGGACATCAAGAGAGAGTGATAGGAGTCATGAGAGCCAGGAAGATGTCACACTCTACTCCTACAAAAAAGGGATGGATGAAGAAGCTAGTCACTGAGTTAAACACAGTAAGAAGACCTATTTTTCTTGGTGGGGATAAATAATGAATTTCAAACACATGAGTTGGGTAGTTATTCCTAGTTATAATTGATTTGCTCAGAAGTATTCTATGGTATAGAAATACATGTCTGTTTCTATTGAGTGTGTATGGATCTTAGAGACAGAAGAATAGGGTTCAGCATGTGTGTAAAGTGGATCTGAAAAGAATGAAGGTCCTTACCTTCCATTAGGTTCCTTTCCCTTACACAAACCCCCCAAAGCTTCTTTTATGACTAGTTTAAAAATGACAACCCATCTTTAAATTTTAAAATCAATATTTTTATATTAAAGAATAAGACAGGAAGCCAAACCAAAAATGCCTGCAAAGTCAAGAAGGAAGCTTCAAGTACCTGACTTCCAAGCCATTACCAGGACACAACTGGCTTTTAAAGTGACAGGCAGGTCTGGAGCATTTTCGTTAAACTATGTTAATTTTCCAGAATGGAGAGAGATGCAAATACTACTTAAAAAAAATTATTATTCATCGAATTCAAATTGTAAAAAAAGAAAAAAGTCATCATACAAGTAATTCCTGAATTTGTTCTACAAAAAAAAAAAATAGTTTGCACTTAAAATTTTAAGTCACTATTGACACGGCACTTTTAAGTCGCTCGAATGCAGTGTCTCATGAAGACTGTCACAGGGACTGACCTGACAGTAATGGAATGTATTCAGTCGGATTCCAAGTTTTTGCAAGCTTTACGATCTAAACCTTTCTCAACCCTTTCTCTCCCGCTTAGAAAAAGAGGAGTGAGGGAGCCACTGAGGGGAGTGTTAGTCTCCGCAAAACACCTGCCCCACCCACCTCAGCCACAATAACCTTCCGTTCCAGAACTAGAGCTACAGTGTGAAAAGGAAGCCTGGATCAGTAGGGCGCTGTTTGGTAACCCAGGCAATCAGGTGCAGACCTCAGAACTGACCCGAGCGGTCTCACCCAGTCGCGGAACAGTGTTTCCCAAAAGGGAACCAAGATCTCCAACACGGAAACCCGAGCTCCAGCGCCTGAAAGAGGGGGCTCTCCCTCCCGCAGATGGCTCCGGTCCCGGTCTCCCGTCGCCTCAAGGCCTCTTCGGGGGACTCGGGCCTCTCGGATCCGCTCCCCGGAGCTCGCCACTCCCCCAGCTCGGCTGCGCACGGGCGCCCACCGTCCCAGCCTGCAGGCCCGTCACCAGGCAACAGTCACCAGCTCTAAGGGCCTCGGGAGGCCTACCCCGGGTGCGGGTCCTTCCCCGTTCCCTCCTTGCTGGCCTTGAGAGCCCAGATGGGAGTGTGGCAGGTGAAGGCGATTGCCCGGTGCCCATGGGCGGTCACTCACCTCTTCCCCTCTTTCCCTGGAGGGGCGGTGCTGGGGCTCGTTTCCCCCGCCCCCCCAAACGCTTCCTGGCTGCTCCTGCTCGACCTCAGAGCCAAGCCGCTGCCGCCGGCTTACTCCATAGCCTTCTCCACCCGCGCGGCCTCAAAGGTTGGAGCTGGAGGAGGGAAGGGGGAGGGGTGGGGAGGGACTGGGGAGGAAGAGTACGAGAGGGGGAAGAAGACCGAAAGACCGGCCGGCCAAGGCATGACGTCACTTCCGTCAGGTTCGGAAGGGGCGGGGACTACGCTCCCTGGGCTCCGCCCACCGGCTGCCAGGTGGGGGCGGTGTTACGAGCTAGGGGAGGAACCCGAGCGCGAGCCGACCGCGGTTCTTTTGACTCTGGTTCCGTAGACTTGGCTGCCAGAGTGGGCTTCTGGGGCCAGGACCGAGCGAGCCGGGTTTCGTGAGCCCTAACGGTGGCTTCTGCCGTAAAAAGAGGACAGGGAGCCCTATAGATCCTAACCAAATATGTACTCACGGGAAGGACAGCTGAGAGGAGCGGGTGGTTTGGACTTGGCTCCTGAGGGTCACCTCTTTTCTGGCCCCGCCCCTTTCTCATCCCACCTGCCCTCTCTGGTCTCGGGTTAAGAATCGCTATTCGGGGGCGCCTGGGTGGCTTAGTCGGTTGAGCGTCCGACTTTTGCTTAGGTCATGATCTCGCGGTTCGTGGGTTCGAGCCCCGCGTCGGGCTCTGTGCTGACTGCCAGCTCAGAGCCTGGAGCCTGTTTCAGTCTGTGACTCCCTCTCTCTCTGACCCTCTCCTGCTCAAGCTGTCTCTCTCTCTCTCTCCTAGAAATAAATAAAACATTTTTTAAAAAACCGCTATTCGTCTGTTTACCGAGCTACTCTTTTTTTTTTTTTTTTTTTTTTACGTTTTTCTTGTTGATTTCTGAGAGGGAGAGACAGCGTGAGAAGGGGAGGGTCAGAGAGAGAGGGAGACACAGAATCTGAAACAGGCTCCAGGCTAGCTGTCAGCACAGTCCTACGCGGGGCTCGAAATCAAGAACCGTGAGATCATGAACTGAGCCAAAGTCGGCCGCCCAACCGACCGAGCCACCCAGGCGCTCCTTTCCGAAGCTACTGTACCCAAGGTGTCCACGAAAGCAGTGCTTCACAAACGAATTGGCATATCATCTGGGGGCTTTGTTAAAATGCAGTTTAGATTCAGGAGTAGGGTCTGATACTCTGCATATCTAGTAAGTTCCCAAATGGCGCCAATGCTGTTGGTCAGCAGCTACACTTAGAACAACAAAGGGTTAAGTACGAGATGGCAAGCAGGAGAATTATTTCCTTAACCTAGCCTACTTGTTTAATGAAGGTTAGAGAAGCAGATGGTCATACTCTTTGCACCGATCACAGACTCCTAGCCTTTCCCACCCCACTCCACCCTACCCCGTCCCTACTCGCCCATCACTCCCTCGCCCCCTCTTCTCTAATTCCTCACTTTCCATTCCTCACCCACTATCCCCTACTCCTGTCTCCGCATTGTCCACAGGGTCTTGGGCTAATATAGACGGACAGCTTCTGTTACAAAAGGCATTTGGAGGTGATGGGGTTTTTATTTCTGTCGTTTTCTCATAAACATTAGACTATTATGTAAAATTGAGCATCTTGTTTCCAAAGGAAAGAGCTTAAATTCTTGGATTCTAACAACAAAAGACCTAGAAACAACAGTCTAGATGTTTCAACTTATTCCATTATCATTCTTAAAATTGTTTAATTAAAAATTTACTGGGTTAGAGAGGAATGAGGAGTGACAGCTAACCTATGAGTTCCTTTCTGAAGTGATGAAATGACCCGGAATTAGATAAAACTGATGGTTGCACAACTATGTGAGTGTATTGAAAAACCATTGAATTGTACATTTTAAAAGGATGAATTTTGGGGTGCCTGGCTGGCTCAGTAAAGCAGGTGACTCTTGATCATGGGGTGGTGAGTTCACACCGATGTTAGGTGTTAGAGCCTACTAAAACATAATAATAACTTAAAAATAAAATAAAGAGGTGAATTTTGTAGTATGTGAGTTTATCTCAATGAAAAATTCTGCTGTCTCCAATTAATTGAAAAAGTATTGTATTAAATGATATGTATTGATATTATTCAAAAGCTCACAAATAGAATAAAAAGTGAGCATCCTTTTTCATTATAATCCTACTTCCCAAAGGTTAATAGTTTGAAGGTTGGCCTCCTAGACTTGTCTATTTATTTACATATACTTGCTGTAATTCAGGAATTCATTTTTATATAACTAAGATGACAGTATACACATTCTCTTAAAAAAAACTTGCTAGTTTTCTTGTTTTGTTTTTTCTACTTAATGAAATCCTTCCATGCTATAAATCTCATTCTTCCAAACTGGCTGTTTAATATTCCACAGTGAGGCTATGACATAATTTATTTAAATGTTCCCCAGATGATGAACATGTTTATTGCTTTCAGGTTTTCATTATTCCTCACAAACATTTTTCATACAGATCAACTGGCAAATAAATCAATTCGTTTTATTCAGCTGCTTGCTTGCCCTAGATCTCTTTCATGAAGAGCTTGCCATCAGTCAAAAAAGGAAAAAAAAAAAAAAAAGAAAGAAAGGAAGGAAGGAAGGAAGAAAAGAAAGAAAAAGCAAAGAGCCTCATGAAGTCACAGCTCTGTCATAATCAAGACTCCAGTGTGTATGTGCGTTGCTTTTAAATATTTTCTAAGGAAATATTCTTCAAGATTAAGTATAGGTAGTCATCATGTCACATTAAGGGTATATAAATTCACACAGTAATATATTTCATATGAGTAAAGCAAGTCCCTAGCTTTACCCTGTTGTTATTGGCAGACAAACAGGGTGCAGGTTTAGTAAATAAATTATGGTTTACGTAAGATGGGAGGAAAAGAAACAAGAAACAAGAGACACACTGGCAGCAGATATGCCATACAAAACCACAAGGTTGTCAAAACTAGGAAACTTACATATTTTTGTGTAATCTAAATTGTAAGAAACATGGTTGTTGGTTTTTCTTTTTTTTTCTTTTCAGGATGCTCTAGTCCTTTCAAGCTACTCAACTATGGGATGGTATTATTTACTCCCTTCAGACTCAGGTGGAAATAAAAAGGAAGCATCACTTACGAACATACAAAGATTGTTTTACTGTTTCTGATGCTGTTGGCATAGTATCAAGTCATCTTATACAAAATATGTGCTTAAGTAGTAATGACATCTCTCCTCTTAAAGGAGTTTGTCTTTGCCAAGTTCTAATGAATCATAAAGTACTTGAACCAGTAGGAATGAAGCTACTGAAGAAGAAAAAGGAATTCGAATCTGAAGATTAAAACAGTAGTCTCAACAGGTTTCTAGGCAATCATATATCCTTTATTTTTTTGCAAAAGAAAAAAGCATTCTGAAAATGGGTTCACTGATGAAATAAAAGCAAAGAAAGCTTTAAGGTTAGTGTTAACCAAGATAGTGTAATATACTGTATTTAGACTATGATAAAACAGTCTTCATTGAGCTAAACTTAAATGTTATGCTTTCAACTTTATTCAGAAGCCAGTAAAAGAAAAGTCATGTAAAAATTAATCTATGTTTGTGGCTGCTCTAAAACTGCTGTGGAAGACATTACCACACAAATTTTTTCAGAATATATAGGAGAAAAAACTTTTACCTTCTTTGATGAATTGTATGCTTTATACTTTTGAAACGTGACTTAGCCAAAGTAAAAAGAGCCAATGGTATCTGGAAACCCAGAGCAAACGTTTTCTATTCAATCATTGCAAAAATATTAACCTTAGAATTAGTATATTTTCTTTCTCTTTATTTCCAACCCTAATTTGTCCTCTTTTGGTGATATTCTATTATCTAATAAATGTATTACTTGTGTGTTTTATTGTTATCTCCCTGAAATCCTTTGTGGAAATAGAGAATGTCTAAATAAGTTTTAGTGAGTTAAAACATATGTTTGAAATTTTGATCCCATATACAATATAATAGAAAAGTCCATATATTATTTAACAGACCAGGAGATGAAGTGATTTGGAATCCTATAGCACAGAATTGAGGAACTTGGGGCTCCCGGGTGGCTCAGTCAGTTGAGCATCCAACTCTTGATTTTGACTCGGGTCATGATCCCAGGGTTGTGGGACTGTGCCCAACACCTGGCTCTGCGCTAAGTGTGGGGCCTGCTTAAGCTTCTCTCCCTCTCTCCCTCTTTTTCTCTCTCTCTTTTTCTCTGCCCCTCCCCCATCCTCTCACAAATTAAAAAAATTAAAAATAAGGAATTGAGGAAGTATTCATATGTGGAAATGTGGTTGTACCTCCAAATATCACAAACCTGTGACAAACCTGTTCTCTCACTTTCGAAAGAAGGTAATTTCATTTTTCATTATTTTTTCAGGAAGAACTGATATTTTAATTATTTTTTAGAACAGTTTCAGGTTCACAGAAAAATTACACAGAAATTGCACAGAAAATAGAGTCCCTATATATCCTCAGCCCCCATAAGTATACTTCCCCCATTATCAACATCCTGTACCAGAGCGATACATTTGTTATAATCCATGAACCTACGCTGATACATCATTATCACTCAAGCTCATAGTTTACATTATTGTTCACTCTTTGTGTTGTATATTATATGGGTTTTGACAAATGTATAATGAAATGTATCCACCATCATAGAATCATACAGAAATAGTTTCACTGACCTAAATGTCCTCTATGCTTCACCTATTCATTCTTCCCTTCCCCCTAACCCCTGGTAACTACTGATCTTTTCACTGTCTCCAAGAATTGACTTTTCAGATATGATAAAAGTACTGTGTTTGTTGTATTGATTCTCTGCTCTTCCGTAAGAGTTTCCATCTACATAGTGATTATATCAGACAAGACAAGTGAGGCAACATAGATCCAATAATATTTCTTTTTTACAATGACCATGATCCAATTAACTGGACATGCTATATAGTCTATACTACCAGAAAAAAAAGACATGTAGACTCCTTACTATTTAAATCCAAGACCATCTTCTTATGGGTGTATTCTTTTTCCATTCCATCCTCTCTCCCAAACACCTCCCTAACCTTTCAGAAAAAAACTAGGCAGCCTGTTGCTTTACTCCTCTTCACTATTTACTTCACCTACTTGTGATTTTCTCCTGATGACACAAAAGGTGCATAGAAGAGCCCCATCCCCAGAACAATTAGGAGGGATACATACATAATTCATTAATGGTTACATCTTTCACTGCATTTGGACAAACCATTACAGAAGCAGGACAAGCCTGATTTGCACCTTAGAGGAGCAAAAGATATCAATGGTAATTAGGATAAGTGTAATAAGGGAAAGACAAGGGCCCCAAAGAAAAGGTAATAAGAAGAGAACAGGGTCTAGAAGATAACTTCAAGGAACTAGTGGGCAAGCAGAAGAATAGCCAAATAAAAGCAAAATTTATCTACTACAAATGAAAAAACCAATTATCTTATTACTTTTACCTAAGGATATAGGGCACCCACCCCAGAAATTCCTAACTACAGGTGGGTGTAATTATCAGTAAATATGCCAATAAAAAGTTTCCAGTTATTGCACCTTTCCCTTTGTTAAGCAGTTTGTTATACATTTTATGTGTATTGTTTATAATCTAACAATAGGCCTGTAAAGTAAGAGGTAAAATTCCCATTTTATAGTAAGGGCAACTGAGACTTAGAAGGATAAATAAATAAGACACAGGAGGGAAGGAAAACTGTTACTTTGATATTTTGAGGGAGATTGCATTGAATGTGTAGATTGTTTTGAGTAGTATAGACATTTTAACAATATTTGTTCTTCCAATCCATGAACATGGGATGTTTTTCCATTTCTTTAGGTCTTCAATTTCATTCATAAGCTTTCTAAGGTTTCAGCATACAGATCTTTTATCTCTTTGGTTAGGTTCATTTCTATGTATTTATGGGTTTTGGTGCAATTGTAAATGGGATCAATTCCTTGATTTCTCTTTCTGCTACTTCATTATTGTTTTATAGAAATGCACCAATTTCAGCACATTGTTTTTATACCTTGTGACTTTGCTAAATTCATGTATCACTTCTAGCAATTTTTTGGTGGAGTCTTTAGGTTTTTCCACATAGAGTATCATGTCATTTGGGAAGAGTGAAAGTTTGATTTCTTCCTTGCCAATTTGGGTGACTTTTACTTCTTTTGTTGTCTGATTGGTGAAATGAATAAGATTTCCCATACTATGTTCAATAGCAATCGTGAGAATGGATATTCCTGTCCTGTTGGTGACCTTAGAGGAAAAGCTCTGAGTTTTTCCCCATTGAGGATGATAATTACTGTGGGTCTTTTATATGTGGCTTTTATGATGTCAAGGTATGTTTCTTCTATCCCTACTTCCTTGAAGAATGCTGTAAAGGGGCTCCTGGGTGGCTCAGTTCGTTAAGCGTCCAACTCTTAGTTTCAGTTCAAGTCATGATCTCATAGGTTTTGAGTGAGAGCCCCACTTTGGGCTCCATGCTGTCAGCATAGAGCCTGCTTGGAATTCTCTCTCTCCCTCTCTGCCTCTCCCTTGCTCTCTCTCTCTCCCTTGAAAGCAAGCAAGCAAAGGATGCTGTAGGGGTTCCTAGGTGGCTCAGCTGGTTAAGCGTCCAACTCTTGGTTTCAGCTCAGGTCATGATCTCTCATGAGTTCAAGCCCTGTGTCTGCCTTTGCACTGACATCTCAGAGCCTGGAGCCTGCTTTGGATTCTGTGTCTCCCTCTCTCTCTGCCTCTCCGTCACTCATTCTCTGTCTCTCTGTGTCTTTCAAAAATAAATAAACATTTAAAAAAAATTTTTTTTAATGTTTTATTTATTTCTAGGAGAGAGAGAGAAAGAGAGACAGCGTGAGCAGGGGAGGGTCAGAGAGAGAGGGAGTCACAGACTCCAAAACAGGCTGCAGGCTCTGAGCTGGCCTGGCAGTCAGCACAGAGCCCGACGCAGGGCTCAAACCCACGAACCGCGAGATCATGACCCAAGCGAAAGTCGAAAGTCGGACGCTTAACCGACTAAGCCACCCAGGCGCCCCTAAATAAACATTTTTAAAACAGATGCTGCATCTTTTGTCAAATGTACTTCTGCATCTATCGAGAGGATCATATGTTTCTCTTTCTTTTATTAATGTGGTGTATCACAATGATTGATTTGCAAACATTGAACCACCTCTGCAGCCCAGGAATAAATCCCATTTGTTCGTGGAGAATGATTCTTTTAATGTAGTGTTGGATTTGATTTACTAATATATTGTTGATTATTTTTGCATCCATGTTCATTAGAGATATTGGTTTGTAATTCTCCTTTTAATGGGGAGGGGGTCTTTGTCTGGTTTTGGAATGAAGGTGATGCCATCTCAGAGAATGAATTTGGAACTTTTCCTTCCTTTTTTATTTTTTCAGAACAGCTCTAAAAGAATATATATTAACTCTTTTTAAATGTTTAGTACAATTCCCCTGGGAAGCCATCCAGCTCTGGACTCTTATTTGTTGGAGATTTTTGATTACTGATTCATTATTTTTCTGGTATAGGTTTGTTCAAATTTTCTATTTCTGTTTCAGTTTTGGTAGTTTTTGTGTTTCTAGGAATTTATCCATTTCTTCCAGATTGCCCAATTTGTTGGCATATTATATCTCGTAATATTCTCTTATAATTGTTTTCATTTCTGCATTCTTGATTGTGATCTCTCCTCTTTCATTTGTCATTTTATTTATTTTGGGTCCTTTCACTTTTCTTCTTGATACAACTGGCCAGGGGTTTATCTATTTTGTTAATTCTTTCAAAGAACCAGCTCCTAGTTTTGTTGATGTGTTCTTTTTTTTAAAATTTCAATAATATTTATTTCTGTCTAACCTTTATTATTTCTCTTCTTCTGCTGGCTTTATGCTTTATTTCCTGTTCTTTTTCCAGCTTCTTTGGGTGTATGGTTAGGTTGTGTATTTGAGACTTTTCTTGCTTCTTGAGTTAGGCCTGTATTACTATATACTTCCCTCTTATAACTCCCTGTGATACATCCCAAAGGTTTGGAACTGTCATGTTTTCATTTTCATTTTCTTCTATGTATTTTTTAATTTCTTCTTTAATTTTCTGGTTAGCCCATTCATTGATTATTTTAAACTCCATGTATCTGTGGTCTTCCCAAATTTTTTCTTGTGGTTGAAACTCTTTTTTCATAGTGTTGTGGTTTGAAAATATGCATAATATGATCTCAATCCTTTTGTACTGGTTGAGGCCTGATTTGTGACCCAGTATGTAATCTATCCTGGAGAATGTTCCATGTGCATTCAAAAAGAATATGTATTCTGTTCCTTAATGATGAAATGCTCTGAATATATCAGTTAAGTCCATCAGGTCCAGTGTGTCATTCAAAGCCATTGTTTCCTTGTTGATCTTCTGCTTTGATGATCTATCCATTGCCATAAGTGGGGTGTTAAAGTCCCCCTTATTGCATTATTATACTATTATCAATGAATTTCTTTATGTTTGCTATTAATTGATTTATATATTTGGGTCTTTCAAGTTGGGGGCACAAATATTTACAATTGTTAGATCTTCTTGGATAGAACCGCTTTATTATCATATAGTGCTCTTCTTCATCTCTTGTTATAATATTGGGCTTAAAATCTAGTTTTTCTGATACAAGTATGGGTATTCCAGCTTTCTTTTGATGTCCACCTGTATGACAAATGCTTCTCCATCCCCTTTCAATCTAGAGGTGTCTCTTATGCAGCATATTGATGGGTCTTCTATTTTTATCCATTCTGATACCCTATGTCTTTTGATAGGAACATTTGTTCCATTTACATTCAGAGTAATTACTAATAGTTATCAATTTAGTGTCATTGTATTACTTGTAAAGTCACTATTCCTGTAGATTGTCTCTGTACCTTTCTAGTCTTAGTTGCTTTGTCTCTCTTTCTCACTTTAATATTTCTCACAGAGCTGGTTTAGTGTTCATGAATTCCTTCAACTTTTGCTTATCTTAGGAACTCTTTATCTTTCTTATTCTAATGGTAGCTTTGTTGGATAAGTATTCTTGGCTGTATATTTTTCTCATTTAACATGTTGAATATATCATGCTGTTTCCTTCTGGCCTGCCATGTTTCTTTGGACAGGTCAGCTACTAACCTCATGTGTCTACCCTAGTAGGTTAAGGACCTTTCATCCTTAGTTGCTTTCAGAATTCTCTCTTTAGCTTTGTATTTTGCAAGATTCACTATGATATGTCATGATGATTTTGAAGGGAATTCTGTGTGCCTCTTGGACATGAATGCCTGTTTCCTTCCCCCAGATCAGGGAAGTTCTCTGCTATAATTTGTTCAAATAAACCTTTTGTCCCTTTTTCCCACTCTTCTTCTTATGGGACTCCTATGATGTGGATAATATTGTGCTTTATGGAATTGCTGAATTCCCTAAGTGTATACTTGTGATCTAATAGTTTTCTTTCCCTCTTCTTTTCAGCTTTATTATTTTCTATAATTTTATCTTCTATATCACATATTCATTCCTCTGATTCTTCCTTCCTAGTTGTGACTACATTTAATACTGTATCTCAGTTATAGCATTTTTAATTCAGCATGACTAGTTTTTAGGTCTTTCATCTTTGCACCAAGGGTTTCTCTGGTGTCTCCTATGCTTCTTTCAAGCACAACTAGTATTCTTATGACTGTTGTTCTAAGTTCTTGTTCCAATATATTACTTATATCTGATTTGAGAATATCCCTGGGTGTGATTTCTTCTTGATCTTTCTTTTGGGGAGAATTCCTCCATCTTGTCATTTTGTCTAGGCTTCTGTCTTTTGTGTGTTATGAAAGCTTGTTATGTTTCCTGCTCCTGAGAATGATGCCATAGTAAGAAGGGGTCATACGCTGTCCAGGACCTGTTGCTTCAGGAAGTGTTTCTGGTGTATGCTGTGTGCATTTTGCTGTTGTGTTTTCCCACAGGCCAATCCTCTGCAGAGTTCTTTGCTTACAATGGGGAGTGTTTGGACCTTTAACTAGGTGTGTTTTGATTTGTTTGTTATAATAAGCCTGATTTTTTTTAAAAAAGCTGATCAAAAAAAGAGAAAAGGAAAAGGAAGAAATAAACAAACAAAAAATTATAAGCCTGATTCTAAAGAGGAAGAAAGAAAGAAAGAAAAAGAAAGAAAGAAGCCCTGTCCAATTTCCACAGAACTGAAGCTGATGCTTTAGAGCACTCTATGATCAGTAGACTTGGTATGCAGGGGGCCTGTGCTGGTCCTCTGGGGAAGAGGCCAGATGTACTGGTTCACAATCAGACTTGCCCTCATAAAGATGAGCCTACAGGGTGCAGGGGGGCAGGGTTTGGTGTAATCAGTTCTAGCCTCCACTGGGGGTGCTGTGTTGCTCATTGAAGTCTGCCCTTGCTGGGGACTGGCAGGGGGAGAGGGCATCACCCAGCTCTCTCATCCCTGGAGAGGGGACCTCCCACCCAAAGGCTTTTCAGAAAACCCTCAGAGAAAAGTGAACAATTTCCCCTCTGGTGTCCCAGACTTCGGTCAGATCCTTATTCTCACCTTCTCTGTGCCCAGGCCGTCAACCCACCCAGTGCCACAGGTCTCCTCTGTTTTATCTCTGGCATGCAGCCAGTATTGAAAATTTCAAATCATAAAGGACCTGGTGCGTATGGACCAAATCCCTCCCCTGGAGGAGAGCCTTGCCACACTGTGTCTGTGCTGTTCTGTCCCAGAAAAGCAGTAACATGGCCATGCAGGTCCTTGGGAGTTTATGGTGAAGCAGCCAAAAGCAGCAAGCAGGTTATTTGCCCTCTGTGCATGCTTCTGTCCTTGCCAATAAATGGTCATTCAATGGCACCCACTGGGTCTTTGTGCCTTGGAGAGGCAATATACCCTTTTCCAAATGTATTCCAGAAGGGGAACATTCTCTCCCAGTGCAACCCAGGGGATCCCTACACCATATGTCCACTCTGGGGCCTCCGTCCTCCTCCCCAAGAGCACTGCTGCTCACCTGGCTTGACTCCCTTGAATGGCTCAGATGTCTAAAACCTCAGAATTTGAGTTCTATTGCTTGTGAAAACTTGTGATAGTCAGTTTTTCTCAATTCCCCAGTCAATGGTTTGGGGGAAGTGTTTTTCTTGACAGAACCCAAAGCTCTCTCTCTTCACTACCACTCCCTCCTCTCTCTGTGAAAAGGGCTCCCTCCTCTCTGCAGCACCAAGGCTTTTCTATTCTGAAGTTCATGTTGCTGCACCTCCTACTTGCCACATTCTCTCCCTCTAATTGCACAGATTTTTCTCTTAATCTTCAGATAAATTTCCTGGGTGTTCGAAATGATTTGAGGATGATCTTACTGTGTTTGAGGAATGATGCAAGCCTAGAATTTCCCTACTACTCTGCCATTTTAACTCTCTCTCTTCTATATTATAATTTAAAGATAACAAACTACAGTTATCTGTGCTGCTTTGAATAAAATTATAATTAGTAATCTCCTATTCTTTCAGATGTGCACAATAATTCATAAGCATGACTAGTAGTTTTTTATATTTGGAATTAACCTATTGTTGGTTTTAAAAGCTGGATCCTATCACTTTATTATCAACCTCAGCAGAAAATAAAACCAATATGGCTCATAGCTTTGATGTTTATTTAAAGGTTAATCTTGACAAGAAAAGTTGTAATTTAGCAAATTTAAATTATCTTAGTATTAAATTAATCCATTATATAAAATTAAGGTAACTTTTTATGTATTACTTAGATATGAAAGAATTTTGTAATATTGGTTGAATATGTTATTTATCAATCTGATGGTTACATTACCTTTGTTTCTAAGCTGTGGAAGATATTTGGAAACAACAGACAGTGCTATATATTTTTTAGCTGATTCACTGTCCATTCTCGGAAAATATTTTGGAGCCTCCACTTAAAACACAAAATCTTCAGGCAGTTAGGTGGCTCAGTCAGTTGAGGGTCCACCTCTTGATTTCAGTGCAGGTCCTAATCCCAGGGTCATGGGATTGAGGATTGAGCCCCGCATTTGGCTCCATGCTGAGCATGGAACTTGCTTAAGATTCTCTCTCTCTCTCTTTCTCTCTCCCCTCTCCCCAACTCACTTGCTGCCACTAAAAAATAAAATAAAATAAAAAATCTTCAAAGAAGCAAAGAGGAAGACCTCATTCTCTCAAACACTTGTCTAGTCAGAGAGGTTATTCCAAGCTTATGTCTATCTGAGTGAGTGACCATTTTTATTGTTAAATAATTTATAACTAAAAAATCCTTTCATATATTTTATGCTTGGTATGTTAAGCTGTAAGAACATATCCTTACATGTAAGCTGACACCATCTCTGTTTCATAAATTAACCACTTTGAATTCTCATTCGATGTAACATAGAAAATCACTGGTTATCACCTGCAAGATCATTGGAAACCAAAGTGGTTTCATTCATTTGAATTCAGTAATGATTTGTCAACCATCCTTTTCCTGCACCAGACCCGAATTTTTTCCAAAATCCTATCACTTCTGTTTTATGACTCTAAAATAATATAACCATCACAGTTTCTACCAGGTTTTTGGTTTTTTTTTTAATCTCTGCCCTAAAAGAAGCTATCGACTAGGAGGAGGGATACTCATGGAGCAAAACATTACAGTTCACTGAGATAAGCTCTATGATAAAATCAGCCTTATTTATGCAGATATTCAGAGAATCATATAACCTGAATGAGGCTCCCTCTCTTTCACTCCTAATTCCAAGGTATTTACAATCGTGAATAAACCAGCTTCTAGGAACTATAAAACCTTGGGTGCTATTGGGATTCCAGCAGGGAGATCCTGATACATTATGTTTCTACATGGGCCAAACAAGAAAAGAACATCATACTCCAAGGTTGAGTACCGAAAGCTTCAGATCCTAGGAACCTTGATGATCAGGGACCTGTGGATCCATTTGGATAGTCAACTGTGGTCCTATTTGCCGTTTGGTTTCCTTAATTCACAATGGGGTCAAGAAAGACCCAAACAAATAGCTAAATCTTCCCCATGCCTCTAGACAGGGAGAGTATAGGGATACCATCAAAGAAACAGGATTTCTTTAGATACTTCTTCAGGAAAGAGCAGCCAGTTGGCCTTTATCAATTGGCATTTCTAGGCAGAAAGGGTAGGCTACCTTTAAGAGAAAAATAGTTCAACTGCCATTAATCTTTTATCTGCAACACAAAGCTCTAGGAGATAATTAGTCACACATGTTAGGCAGGATATACTATTCATCTGTGGGAGGTGGAGACTAAAAAGAGAAGGAGGGAAAGAGGGAAGGAAAAAGGAATGAGAAAAGGAAAGACATTTGAGAATTATCATAAATTCATAGAGTATATCACCCAGAAACTACATCCTAAGAAAATGTTTTAGGAAAGATTTCAATGAGACTACAAAGAATATCCAGAACCCCAAGATGAAGATAGATTGAAGAAGGAAGAAAACATTGCTAGGCAATGAAATTTGATCTGTACTCTCCTACTATTTTCTCTTCTCTCTGATTTTGTAATTTTGTATCCACGTGCTGGCATGTATACATACATACACACATGAATTCCAAGTTGATATGGTAAGACTATGTGAGAATGTATAAATATAAGTGCTATATAAGAAGTCAAGACAAAAGGGACTCAGTATTGAAGGATATTAGAATAAATACTAACCTATCTCAGCAAAACCTGTGTGTTCAGATAGTGGCCCATTAGGAAATGGGGGAATTACAGGAATCACCAAAGGGAGGGAGGAGTGTAATATCCTCAATTTCTTATTTTACTCAAGTGGGGAGATAAAAAGAAAAAAAGAGAGAGAGAGAGAGAGAGAGAGAAAACAGTTTGTGATGGAATAAAAGTGCATCTTGATTAGGGAAATATTTAGTATCTTTTTTCCAAATAATAATCGAACCATATCCACCTAATTATTATAGTGGGGAAAAGCAAGGGAATCACTCATGGAAGGGAACAGTGCAGATGAACTCTTCTGAACATAATCTAAGAAAATGAGAAACAATGAAAAGGTAGCCAAAAACTATTTTTTATTCCTTGAAAATAAATGTACAGAAAGGTGTGGTGGTATTTGGTGAAGAAAAAAGCTATCCCCTCTACTTTACTCTTGTAATCAACCAGCAAAAATTATTGAAATGATTTTCTCAAAATTAGTCTCTTTATATTTCATTACATATAGACTTACATTTTATCAAATATTGTTTTAGGTAGTTAAATGGAACTGTTAACCATTGGTTTGGTTTGTTTTGTTTTAACCTCCAGGATTGACAACTGGCTTATTAATGCAACAATTGAGTGCTTGGAATAGTTCCCTGACCGTTTAATAGTTACAGTTAATCAGAAGTTAGTACAAATCAGAAAAGCCAAGATTGACTATACAGAAGATACTCTCTGATGTCATAGTAAAATACTATAATGAGATAAATTGCCTATTAACTGATGAGATTCTGATATTCAGTCAGGAATTATTGAACTTTAAGGTAAAAGAAGATATTTAAACTTTAGTTTTTAGTAAAATAAAATATTTTTAAAGATACAAATTGCATGGGATGCCTGGCTGACTCACTCAGTCAATGGAGCAAGCAACTCTTGATCTCAGGGTTCTGAGTTCAAGCCCCACATTGGGCATAGAACTTACTCAAAAAACAACAAACAAACAAACAAACAAACCCAACAACAGCAACAAGTTACAGGGTGTGCCTGGATGGCTCAGTCAGTTAAGTGCCTAACTTTTGGTTTTGGCTTAGGTCATGATCTCACAGTTCATGGATTCAAGCCCTGTGTTGGGCTCTGTGCTGACAGCATGGAGCCTGCTTGGGATTACTTGGGATTCTCTCTCTCCCTCTTTCTCGGCCACCCTCCACCCCAATAAATAAACTTGAAAAAACAACTTGCAGAAAATTTAATAAACTATGTAAGTATTACATTTTAATATTTTTCTTCTGGGGCACCTGACGGTTCAGTCAGCTAAGTGTCTGACTCTTAGTTTTAGCTCAGGTCATGATCACAGCTTGTTAGTTTGAATCCCACATTGGGCACTGTGCTGACAGCACGGAGCCGGATCGGGATTCTCTCTCTCCCTCTCTCTCTGACCCTCCCCTGCTTATCCCCCCAACAAAATAAATAAACTTAAAAATTTTTTTTTAATATTTTTCTTCTATGGTGTCAAAGTACTTCATGAAGTCTTTCCCAACTTCACTAATGTTACCTGCCACGTAAACTGTACTATCAAGTGCAGTATAGGATATTAGATCTAAGGTAATCATATCATAGAGGCATTCCAAGAAACATATTTTAATATAATACAGTCCTTGAGAACTGAGGTATCTGGAAGTATTAGTTTCTGATTTATTAGTTTGGCAATCTTTTACTAAAATAAAAATTGAGCGACATAATATCATGTAACTGTTTAAATTTTTTTAAATGTTTATTTCTTTTGAGAGAGAGAAGACACAGAGTACAAGCAAGAGAAGGGCAGAGGGAGAGGGAGACACAGAATCTGAAGCAGGCTACAGGCTCTGAGCTGTCAGGGCAAAGGCAGACATGGAGCTTGAACTCAGTCAAGTTCACACTTAACCAACTGAGCCACCCAGGCGCCCCTTATCATGTCACTTTTTAGCAGTGTAGGTAGCCATATAATTTCATGGCTATTCCATCAGAACCTAATGCCTGCAAGTTACAAAGACAGGTGAAAAATTATGCAATAACAGTTTTACAATTTTCTGCTATTTTTTAAGAAATCATTCAAGCTAAGGTTAATTTTACTGTCTACAATATGGTAACAAAACGGTAATCCTGAAAACTCTTGTCAAGGCAGTTTTGCAAATGCAATCATTATTAAAAGTACAAGCAGAACAACTAGTCTGGTTTTTACTCAAGTATCACGCTGAGCTCTTCAAAATTATCTCTGGCATTTCGCCTGGGCACATTTATTACTAAGCTATTTGTGTCCAGAAAAAAGGCAAACCATTCACTTAATGAGTAATTTGCTGAGTAATTATACTGTGCAAAGTTTGAAGGAATGCTCTTTCCCCATACCCACTAAAAAGAAGGAAGCGGACTTAAAACAATGTCAGTATTTGCAAGCATATTGATTAATTTCTTCAAACCATTTCTGGTACATTACTATGTATCAGAGAAGGTCCTAGGCAATTAGAAGATCAGCAAACAAAACACAACAATGCAGGCCGTTGAGGAACTTATATCCAAGTGAGAGACAAAAACAATTAAAAAAATATACACAAAATATCATCAAGTCATATATTTTGAAAGAAGGAAACACCTGCAAAAAAAAAAAAAAAGGAAAAAGAGTGGGTTAAGGGGATTTAAGGTACTAGGGTGGAGGTGAGCGGAAAGTTACCACCTTAGGGTGGCCAAGGTTGGCCTCACTAAGAAAGTAAGATTTGAGCAAAGACTTGGATGGAGAACCAACCAAATGGCTGAGGGTAGGGTAGTGGTTGTGGGCAGAGAGAATGGTTCCTAGGGCAGAGGACTTAGGGGCGATGCATGCCTAGGTGCTGAGGAAGAGCAAAAAGTGGTGGGCAGAGGGGAGAGTAGTATGAGATGAGGTTGGGGTGGGGGGAGCCCTTGTAGGCCATTAGAGAGACTTTGTTTCTGCTTGGAATAAAATGAGGAATCATTGGAGGGTTTGAGCAGGACAATAGCCTGATTTGACTGACATGTATAAGGATCATTCTGGATTTTGTGTTGTGAATAGATTGTAGATGGGCAAGGGTAGAAGTGGGAACACCTTTTCGGAGGCTGTTGTAATAATCCGGACAAGAGATATGGTGACTTGAAGCAGACAAATGGCAATACAATTATTAAGACATGGTCAGATTCTTAATATATTTTGAAATATATTAGAAAAAATATTGTTTTTTAGCCTCACTCTCTTTTAGTACCAGACAGTGGTACTTTTAGTGGTGTTATCTCTCTAAAGCCTCTATAAAGAATTGTTTCTTCTTCTCCTCCTCCTCCTCCTCCTCCTCCTCCTCCTTCTTCTTCTTCTTCGTTAAAAAACTTGTCTGATGTCATAAGAAACATTAATTCAAAATTTGCAGTTCTTTCAACCTTAACTGAAGCTTGTTTTTCATTATTTCAGAGGAAAATATGACACCAAGCATGTAAAATGGAAGCAGCCCCCATTTATGAATTTTGTGGTTTTGTTTTAAGTAAACTCTTTGACCAGCATGGGGCTCAAACTCACAACCCTGACATAAGAGTCACATGCTCTACTGACTGAGTCAGCCGGGTGTTCCCCACCATTTATGAATTTTGAATGATATATATTCTAAATGCTCATTTGTAAGTCAGTTGTTAGTCTACAACTAGTTTTTCATTACAAAAATAATGGTAGTAAGTGGAGGTTTGGATCTCGGTTATATAAATGTTTAATTCTACAGTTGCTAAACCAAAATTCATGTGTATGATTTACTTGTAAAATAGGCTTCAGATTCCAACTGGGACTTCAGAATGAACATTTCCTCTGCCCTCCTCTTCCTTACCATTTAACTTCTCCACATTCTTTTTCCTCACCCAGCCTCCTCCTCTGCGTAAATGAATTATCTTTTGACTGAGAAGTTAGAACTTTTTCATTTTTTACCTCGTCCTCAGGTTGGAACTAGCAGTGTCATAAAGAAACTTAACAGTATAAACTTACAAAGTTTATAACTGGCCACAAAAGAACTTGACATGGGCTGGAGGAAGTGGGGGTGGGATTCAGGAAGCAGGGGGAAGGGTTTTGGGAGATTAGATATTTCAGGGTGTTTCAGGGAGGCTGAGATGGGGGTATTTATGATAGGGGCTATCAAACACACTAAGCTTTTCCCTGTTACAGTCTTGCCTATCCTGTCTACTGTCTGGAACACTTTTCTCCCAAACCCTCTCCTGGCTTACCCCTTCACATCTGTTAAGGCCTCTATTTAAAATGTTACCCTCTCAGAGGGGTGGCCTGGTGGCTCAGTTGGTTAAGCATCTGACTCTTGATTTTAGCTCAGGTCATGATCTTGCAGTTCATGATTCATGAGTTCGAGCCCTGCATTGGGCTCCAGGCTGACAGCATGAAACCTGCTTAGATTCTCTGCCCCTCCCCTGCTCTCTCTCTCTCTCTTAAAATAAATAAACATTTTAAAAAATATCCTCTCAGAAACACAGAAGCCTTCCCTAAGATAGCTACTCATCTTCTTCACTCTAGCCTCTTACCCTGTTTTATGCTTTCTTTATTTTAAAGATTTATTTTTTAATGTTTATTTATTTATTTTGAGAGAGAGAGAGAGGGAACATGTTAAGTGGGGGAGGAGCATAGATAAAGAATGCAAAGCAGGCTCTGCACGGTCAGCAAGGGAGCCCTACTCAGGGCTCAATCCCATGAACCATGAGGTCATGACCTGAGCTGAAATAGATGCTTAACCAAATGAGCCACCCAAGGACCCCATTGCTTTACGCTTTCTTAATGGTATTTATCTCTGCCTGAAATGATATTATATATTTTCTGATGTTTTTAAATTGTCTTTCTCCTGAAATTGTAAGTTTCAAGAGTTCCGAAACTTTTTTTTTTTTTTTTTTGGAGTTCAGAAAGTTGATCTGTTTATCCATCACCTAGAAAGTGCGTGGAACATAGCAATCACTCACTAAATGACAGAATGAATTGAGGACACCTTCGTGACTGGAAGTTGGCAGGACGTTAGATGCTAATGAAAGGTAGCCCGGAATCCAGGATAAAAGAGCTGTGTGGATGTGAATTTTCAGCATTAGTATGTCTAGGGAGTGCCCTGTATAATATTACTAGCTGATGCTAATTTCCCCCAGATACATGTTTACATGTTGTCATCTGGGATTACTTTTGCATAACTCAAACTGGAAAAGGATATTTACCTTTTTTTTTTAAAGACAGTAAAATTTTAAAGCTACTATATATATATATATTTTTTAAAGCTACTATTTATATATGGACCATGTAATTACAATGTAAGATTATTTAGACTACTGCTACTATGGAAGCACAAATAATTTTCATTATTATAGAACATTACACTAAAGATTGGTTAACCTAGTTAACATAGTTAAAATACATACACGAAAGTAGAAAATAGAATTTGGAGAATTCTAAAAAAAATTCAAGTATTCATACCCTTTATAATTCAGAGGCCTTCTGCTACCCGCCTCCTCTCCCCATCTGCAATCCTTTCCTGCTCATTGGCCAAAAAATTGAGAGAGTTGTTTTTTTATGTTGGATTCCTAGCTGGAAAGAAATTCATATTAAATATTTGAAAATACCTGTTTTTTTATGGAGACTCCAGTTACTTTATTGAATCTGGTTAGTAAGAAGCTTAAGAAGCTTCATAGAGAAGATCCAGATGCGACATCAGGTATTAATTCAGATTTGTTCCTTCTTTATCATTAAAGGACTGTTACAGACAAGCATGTTGGAAAAGAGCCAAGGGTGAGTGTCTCATAAATACATAATGTTATAAAAGGTGGTTCATGAAGGTTATTTTTTAGTATCACCAGAGCAAGTTCTCTAGTTCTTTTCGAAAGCCCTATGTTTGATTACCTTTTGGCTGAAAAGGTAAAATATTTCTCTCAGTTCTACTCCCAGCTCTTACCTTCCCCTCTGCCAATTACCCACCTGCCTGCTTCCTTGTTCCTGTGCTCTCTCTTGTCTTCTTTCCTGATTCGCTCAGATTCTTTCTCTTGTGTGACATTCTCATTCCCCTCCCTTCTCTTTTCTAAGAAATGACCTAGTTTCATAGAGGAGGAGCCTGACCTTTCCAGTTGAATAGACTCCATGATTTTTCTTTTCACTCAGTGTCTTGTGGCAATTGATCTAAATCCTTAATTTAGATTTTCTTTAAACTATAAAATATTTTAGGCTTATTTATTTGTTTTTTTTTAATGTTTTTTTTAAATTTATTTCTAGGAGAGAGAGAGAGAGAGAGCGTGGGCAGGGGAGGGTCAGAAAGAGAGGGCATCACAGACTCTGAAACAGGCTCCAGGCTCTGAGCTGGCAGTCAGCACAGAGCCCGACGCGGGGCTTGGACCCATGAACCGGGAGATCATGACCTAAGCGAAAGTTGGACGCTTAATCGACTAAGCCACCCAGGCGCCCCTTATTTATTTGTTTTGAAAGAGAAGAGACAGTGAGAGTGGGGGAGGGCAGAGAGCTAGGGAGAGAATCACAAGCAGCCTCCACACTGCCAGTGCAGAGCCCAACATGGTTCTTTTTTTTTTTTAATTTTTTAAAATGTTTTATTTATTTTGAGAGAGAGATAGAGACAGCATGAGCAGGGGAGAGTCAGAAAGAGAGAGGGAGACACAGAATCCGAAGACAGGCTCCAGGCTCTGAGCTAGCTATCAGTACAGAACCCAACGTGGGGCCCGAACCCACAAACTGTGAGATTATGACCTGAGCTAAAGTCGGAGGCTTAACTGACTGAGCCACCCAGGCGCCCCATAGTCCAACATGCTTCTTGAACTCATGAAACTGTGAAATCATGACCTGAGCTGAAACCAAGAGTTGAACACTCAACCGACTGAGCCACCTAGGCACCCCAAAACTATAAAATATTTTTAATATGAATTTCCTAAGATTGTCATATGAGAGACAAAGTAGTATGGTAGATCCAATTGTGGGTGTTGGGGCTTCAGCTTCCTTGTAAACAAAATGAGAATAATAGTGACATGTACCACACTGAGTAGTTAATACTCAGTAATATATTAACTGATATTATATAATATATAATATATATATTATTATAATATTAATATATATAATATAATATTAATATATATAATATATATAATAATATATATATATTATGTTAATATATCAGTAATATAAGCTAATACTTATACTTATATAAGTATAAGTATATATATAATATATACTTATTAATATAATATATATATTAATAGAATATAAAATATATTATTATATATTATAATACATATATTATATTATATATTATATAAGCTAATACTTATATTACTGATATAATATTATAAATTTAAAATATTAAAAATATTTAAACTGTGTTATTATTTAAACATTAAATACTATTAATATTCACTATTACTTGACGCTAATATTGAGCCCTACTATGTGTCAGACACTCTGCTGAGCACTAATGTGGATTTATGAAATTATTTCTTCTACATAATATTTTTTGCAGCCATTATTATTATTCTATTTTATAGGTAAGGTAACTGAAACTTAGAGAGAGGTTAATTAATGTGGCCTACTAGAAAAGTGGGTAATATTTTTTGCCTTTAAAATAAAGTTTCGGGGGCTGAGTCAGTTAAGTGTCCAAGTCTTGATCTTGGCTCTGGTTATGATCTCATGGTTTGTGAGAAGGAACTGACAGTGCACAGGCTGCCTGAATCCTCTCTGTCCCTCTCTCTTTCTTTGAACCTCCCCCTCTTGTGCACACACACACACTCTCTCTCAAAATAAATAAATAAACATTTAAAAAAATTCTAGGGCATTAGTAATTTTTAGAAAAACATTCATAGAGTAGGGCATTACCTGCCTGAATTACTTGGAATTTCTCAGCTAATAAATTTCCTCTCATTCCCTTTTTGAACACAGGGTATATGGCAACAGATATGTTGCCACATGTATCCTGTCTGATATGGTTAAACAACAATGGTAATGAAGTATTTTGAACTTAACATCTGGAATCTTTTTGGATTAATTCAATCATGTCTTACTAAACTTCATTTGGCTGCCATTACTACATTAGATTTTTACATTAAATTTCTCATTACTTTTGGCTTTTGAGGGAAGTGGAGGGACTGTAGGCATTTAATATTTATCTCTGTTCAACAATATGCTTTAAAGGGAGATAATAAATATAAGAGCTTGCCCAGTGCTAAGTACTGCACTTGGAAATAAAAAATGATCTAATAATATTTTCTTCTAAATAGCTTAGCTATATTGTCTCTTCTTAAAATTTATTCCTTATTGAATAAAATTATCAGATTATACCATTATGCAATTTAATTGAATTTTTAAATTGTCCTTCTGTTTTACGTTGTATGCTCTTTTCCCTATACTTGAACTGATACTTAAAGTTCATGACTGTTGATTTAAAATGCTCCTGATAAGCACATGTACCCCAATGTTCATAGCAGCACTCTCCACAATAGCTAAAACATGGAAAGAGCCTAAGTGTCCATCAACAGACGAATGGATCAAGAAGATGTGGTTTATCTATACCATGGAATACTACATGGCAATGAGAAAGAATGAAATCTGGCCATGTGTAGCAACCTGGATGGACCTTGAGGGTGTTATGCTGAGCGAAATAAGTCAGGCAGAGAAGGACAAATATCATATGTTTGCACGTATAGGAGGATTAGGAGGAACTTGACGGAGGACCAAGGGGGAGAAGAAGGGCGGAAATGGTGGGGGAAAGGGAGAGAGGCAAACCATGAGAGACTCTTGAATGCTGACAAAAATTGAGGACTGATGGATGTGGGGGGGAGGGGGGGATGGGCATGGAGGAGGGCACTTTGGGGATGAGCACTGAGTGTTATGTGGAAACTAATTTGACAATAAACTATTTGTAAAAAAAAAAAAATGCTCCTGATATCAAATACTCATCTATCCATCTATTCAATTATTCACTAAACATGTTTTGAATATCTACTATGCACCAGACTTTGCATAAGCACCAGGAAATACAAAAATGTATAATATAATGTCCCTGTTTACAGTAAGCTCATGTGCCATTGTCCCAAGTGACTGACACATAGTAGATGCTCAATAGATATTTGTGGAATAAATCTATTCAGTGATTGATGTATGAGGGGCGCCTGAATGGCTCAGTCAGTTGAGCGTCCAACTTCGGCTCAGGTCATGATCTCATGATTCAGTGGGTTCGTGCCCCATGTCGGGCTCTGTGCTGACAAGCTAGCTCAGAGCCTGGAGCCTGCTTCAGATTCTGTGTTTCCCTCTCTCTCTGACCCTCCCTTGCTCACGCTGCCTCTCTCTCTCTCTCAGAAATTAAAAAAAAAAAAAAAACATTAAAAAAAAGAATTGATGTATGAGAGAGACAGCCAGTATAAATCAACCATAACAAAATATAATAGGGATATGTCCAAGCCAGATGAAGTTATGGAAGACCAGAGAAGGATTACCTAACCTTGTGTGAGGGAATCAGACTAGGCTTGTGGATGAGATAGGACTTGGTAGGAGTCTTAAATTTAGTAGATGTTAGCTAAACCAAAAGAGTAATGAAGGGAAGGATATTCTGGACTAATGAACATTGTGAGCAAAGATAAGTGCTAGAAACTGTAGCCAAGGGGTGGCAAGGATTGACACTAGAGAAATAGATATATGTCAGATCCTGAAGGGCCTCATTTAGCAACCAAGAAATTCACTAGGCAGCTGGGGAGGCATTGAAACTTTTTAAGCCAGTGACACAGCTAGATTCATATTTTAGATAAAGCATACTTAGTAGCAGTATGTAGAATGAGTTGGCAGTGTTCTTAGTTAGGAGGTATTGCAGTAGTCCAAGTGAGAAATGATGCAGTCCTGTACTATGGTGAAGGCAAGAGGGATGCAGAGGAGGGGGTAGGTGTGACAAATATTTGGGAAGAAAAATTGGCAACACTTGACTGCATCTAGGGGTCAGGGAGTAAGGTGACTCATAGATGACTCAAGCTTCCAGGTGGGGTGACTGCCACCAATTCTGACAGAAAGAGGGACATGTTTAGGGAGATGATTAAATCTGTTTTGGCCTTTTGGTTTAAGATATGTGTAGGACATCCTGGCTGAGATTTTCAGCAGGGCAGCTGGATGTGCAACATTGAAGCTAAGGGGAGAGATATGAGCTAAAACTAAGTACTTGGGAGCATGTGGAAACTGAAGTACCTTGGAGTACATTGAGTAAAATAGGAGGTCCAAGAATAAAATATTAAGGGACACCAACAGTCAAAGGGTGGATAAAGAGGAACCTATGAATGAGAGAGAAGAAATGTGAGAAGGGGAATGAAGTGAAGTCATGGCCATAAAGCCAAGGAGATGTAACACTTTAAGGAGGAGGAGGGCTGCATGTGGCAGAAGATCAGGACTGGGCCCATTCTCTGCACCGAGCCAATTAATGAGAGCTGATTTAGCAGTTTGAGGGGCAAAGGTCAGGTTGCAGTGGGATGAAAGGGAAATTAAGAGTGGACATATGCTAAGGGGAAGAGAGAAACTTGGCAACGATGGGGATGGTGCTGAGTCAAATCAGAGGTTTGGACCCACTGATCTGCTGAAAGGAAAGCAGAGGACATGTGCTCAAGGGCACAGGACCAAAGGTTTGCCTGGCACAGGAGGAGAGATATTAGAATGAGGATGACAGTGTGTGTGGGTGTAAATAAATGTGTAAGTTCAAGGTGGAAAGTTGAGGGAGACTGTCAAGAGATGAACCCATTTTCCTTGACAAAGTAGGAGGAGGAGGTAATATTGTATGAGGAGTTGGACCAATAAATGGATCACGTGGGAGGAGGGGGATAGTTTGAAATAGACGTTTATGGGAATGGGAAAAGCAGCTGAGAAAGGACTAGTAAATGGATTGATGAGTAATTCTAAGACCCAGATAAAGTAGATTATAAATGTTCGTGGAGCCGATTTGTGCAACGTGATTTTCTCAGCAGCACTTACTTACTTGAATGGTGGAGTGGAAAAGGTGGATTCGAGCATTGAGGAGGAGCTGGGATTTTGCTTGTCAGCTGTTGCACGAGAGAATTGAGGACATGTGGTAGTGAGAAAGTGGTGCAAATGTTCAATTATGTGTCCAATTCAAGACAGGAAGGAAGAGGTGATAGACAAAAAAAGGTGGCACATCTGAGATGTGACAAGATGGACAAGAGTTATGACAGCTCTAAAGGCATCTATCATAGTGGTAAAGAAAGACTCCAGGCCCTGGGAGTGCACAGTCCTTGCTTCAGATCCTAGCTCAGCCACTCGCTGGCCATGAGGTCCAAGCTTTTGTTTCTTTATCGGTAATGTAAGGCTGATACTACTAACATCTATCCACCTAGACCTGAGGATACTGTAGATTTATTGAGGAAAAAGCACAAAAAGTTTGGCACATGATAAGCACTCATTGTAAGCTACTACTATATTATTATTTGAAGGATAGTAGATTCTGTGTAGAGAGTTGGGTTCAAGAGTTTACATTTTCAAAGCCAGTATAATGCCAGGATATCACCATAGGTGTGTTTAATTAAAAGCCATTATGGTGAAGATAGGAAAAAACCCTAAAACTGGTGGATTTCAAAGTTTACTCTGATTGTCTGTGACTCCCTCCCTCTCTGACCCTTCCCTGCTCACGCTGTCTCTCTCTCTCCTAGAAATAAATAAAACATTTAAAATTTTTTTTAAAAAAGTTTACTATAATTAAGAATTGCTTTGCTGTCTTCATCTGTGGATCAGCAGCAGGAGAGGCTTAGGTGACTATACACGCTAAGGCAGCTCACAGAACAGTGAAAAAACCTCTACTCATGTTCATGAAATTATTTGTTTGTGTTTTGAACATGCCTCTGATGGGGTTCATGACATGCCACCCCCAGAATATGGCATTTGGCATACTGAGTACTTTAAGCTGAAAGAGTCTGAGAAAATGACTGAAGCAGTGAAGTCACCCTGACCTCCTCCCCCTTGCTCTTCTTCACTGACAAAGGCCGTAAAACCCTCACACAAGAGGTGCCCTCTTTACATTCATGGTAAGGAGTATTTTTATCTCCAAAAACAAAAGGATAGCAAGAAGGTTCTGAACAAACAGTTCTTGCTAAGTTTTCTCCAATTTATTACAGTCACTTAATACTCAATCTATCATATTCTTCACAGCTGTCCACTCTTCATCAAACCTAGCAGAAAAGCACAGAGGACTGTTTCTTTGAGTTTTCATTTCCTTGTGAAGGTTCCTGTGTCACACAAAACTTAATTTGTATGCTTTTCTCCTGTTAATTTGTCTTTACTAATTTACTTTGAGAACCAGCCAGGGACCCTAAGAGGGTCAAGGAAAACTTTTTCCTCCCATATACCTCCAATTTATTAGCCACATCATTTAAATTCCTTGTCTATATGTCCTGAAACTGGACAGTAGTTATTTGTTTCTACTTTATGGAGACATTTTGAAGATCCAATAAAATAATGTATGTAAAATAAGATAGTATGTCTTTTGCTATGGAGTACTTTGTAAAGAACTTTTAATTGCTCTGAAGCAAAGAAAATACGAGTGTAAGTAAGATCATCCACCATATTCTGGAAAAAAAGAAGTCCAGAATAAAGCCAGTTTGGATATAAACGTTTCAGTTTTTTCTTTTTAACTTGCTTTTCCAACTATACTTTTTTTTTTAAGTTTCACATTTTGCCAACATTTGATATACAAGGAGTTTGGGGGAAAAAACGACAGCTTAGTATCTTCACCAGTTGGCTCTTCAGATTAAGTGTAACACCAAAATCTCTTTGAATTACAAAAAGAAATTAAGAAATTTCAAAAACACTATCTGGAAGTTTTACATTAACATTTCTGGGGCAAGAAACTATAATTTAATTTCAAACAACTCTCTGGTGATTTTCTCAAACTGCTATACTTAGACTTCAGATATAGGGTAGCCTAAGGATTTTAAGTGTGATCATGCTTAAAGTGTGTTAAGGAAGGTGGATAAAAGGTAGCGGCTTCCACTTACAAAATAAGGGCCATGGGGATATAACATACAGCATGGTGACGATAGTTAATAATACTGTGCTGCACATTTGAAAGATGCTGAGGGAGTAAATCTTTAAAAAGTTAAGAAAGTTTTCAACTTTACAAGGAAATACAAATTAAGGTCACGTATGCCAATTCATTTAATTATTATGCTGTTAAAACCACTTACTAAATGTACTATTAATAGGAATATGATACAGTTACGTTCTTAAAAAGATTTTTTTCCCACAGAAAAGGAAAATTTCATGCATTTATTCTCTGAAGAAAGCATGAACGTTCCTTAGTACCTATTAATTTTTGAGTTACTCTCTTAGGCTACTGTGAATCATCTAAATAGAGTAATATTTTTTAAAGTAGAATATTTTAAAAGTCACAAATTTAGAATTCCTTAATGTCTAAAGCCATAATTTTGCCTTCACTAATTCTTCATTAGCTCATTACAAACATAAGCAATATCATCCACCATATTCTGGTTTTCTTCTTTCTTCCTGGTTTTCTTCTTCCTTCCTGTCCCTCCCCTCTTGTCTCCTCCCTCCCTCTGTTTTTAAGTTGATTAGTTCACTTTATGGCATCATTTCTTCAATGTGTACAGGTTGTGGATTCAATCCCTGTTGAAGGTTACACAGTAACACATTCTTTTTGTGCCTTGATCAGAGAAGCATGTACCGTAAGTACTAAAAATATATGTATTGAACTAATGTCATGTTCTTTTTGTTCAAAAATGGGATCAGTTTCTTGAATTTCAATCCTCAGAGTCAAAGTTCTCAACTAGGATTGTATGAAAAGATCTCAGAGGGCTGAAATATAGTGTACTTTCTAAAATCATGTGCTTATGGCATTTTTTTCTAGGAAGTAATCCATACCATTACCAGATTCTCAAAGGGTATTAGGACCTAAGCATATTAAGAACCACCAAGTCAGAGAATCAACACTATTGATTCTGTCTTCAGAGAATATGCTACAGGCCTTTATTGATATATATTTATATATTTTTCAAATTTTGCTTTTACTTTTTGGGTGAACCATTATTCTCAATGTTCAAATATTATGCTAAAGTAAGAGCATTAGCTGGATGAATTCTAAGTTCCTACCCATGTAAAACAAAACTAAATTGGGGCGCCTGGGTGGCTTAGTCGGTTAAGCGTCCCACTTTAGCTTAGGTCATGATCTCGCGGTTCATGGGTTCGAGCCCCGCGTCGGGCTCTGTGCTGACTGCCAGCTCAGAGCCTGGAGCCTGTTTCAGAGTCTGTGACTCCCTCTCTCTCTGACCCTCCCCTGCTCACGCCGCTGTCTCTCTCTCTCTCTCTCTCTCTCTCCTAGAAATAAATAAAACATTAAAAAAAATAAAAAATAAAACAAAACTAAATTAAAATAATTTTATGCCACTGGAAGATGTAACTACCCTCATCTGTGTATGGTTCTTTGGAATTGAGGAGGAAATTAATATAACTCCAGTAGAAGACCTGAGAGTGTGGTTCTAGAGAGATCAGAAAACACTGGAAACATGCAGCCACATGCTCTTCATTGGAGGGGGTACAGGGGAGAGTCTCCTTATTAGAAAAATCTCCATTTTAATGTTCTATGTGAACATTGCTCACCATCACTGTGAAAGGCTGGGACTTAGAGAAATGCATTAAGAATATTACCATGTCCTTGAATCTGCTGCTCAAAAGATTATATATAACTTTAAGGAAACATCTTCCCTCTGAGAGGTCTATTTTGTTTTAAATTTCTAGAATAAAAATATACATGTTTAGATTGATATTTCTAATATTGGACCAGAAATATCAAAGATACAAAGGTAAGCATGTGGTATGGTAGATAACCTGAGGATATGGTCTCTGGTGTCAGAGACCTTGATTTACCACTTCACTTATTTGAGGTCAGAAGGGAAAATGTTAGCAAGTAAGCACCCTAGATTTAGGCAAAATGCAAATTAGAATTAGTAGAATTACTAAGAATTGTTCCGCAATGCTTAAAACATTTTACTATTGTATGAAGTGAATGACAATTTCTTATAACATTCTCTAATAAAGCTTATTTTGATCAACACATATATTGTTATTCAATTAAACTTGTTTACAAATTGACTTCTGCTAAATGGATTTTGAAGATTCTGAAGCATGAATGCCTAACCCAACAGTGCCACTCCACCTAGTGACAGCTCCACAAATTACAGTTATTCCACTTAAAAAGAATTCCCCAAGGTATTATCATTCGATTTTAGGTTAGATCTTTTTGAGGGAGGTCTTAGACGCAAAATCTTTTTTCTTTGTATAAATAAAGTCCAACTTCAATTTTTGAGAAGATTATTTCCCATTAGAACATTCAGTGAATTTCCGTGAGAATTAACAGCCTGATTCATAATGCTTAAGACTCTGCTTAAACTTCTTATGCACATTCTCAGATACTACCCAGGTAAATAAAAGATTTTCTAACTCAAAGAAATAAATGTTGAGATGAAACTTTTCTCCTCTTGTAATTTATATACATCAAGAAGGTTCAAGTCGGAAAGGCCTTCTTGAGACCTTTTCTTCTAGAAATCTTTCTTCCCTGTACTTTGTACAAGTGGATTTGGATGTGCTTTTATAATGCAATTGCTTATGTGCTAGAAGGATTTTTGATCATAAAAGCCAAAAAGTTAGTATTGCAACCCCAGCTCTTGTCACTTAACTCTGTGGCCAGTGATACTCTAAGGCAACTCTTTCGTTGCCTGATTCATACATGAGAATAGTAATTCAACAGTTGACCTGTGCCAGCACTGTTTCTGGCTGGTACCAGCCATATCACGTAGAACCACCTGTAAATCAGGTTTGGATTTTTCCTCTGGTATTAGGTAACCTCTATAAGGTCATAGATGTGGGCCAGGGGAAAAGTAAACCGTGCAGTAAGAGGAGGTGCTCTAAGCGTGAGCTCATGGAATTTACTTGTTCAGCCTGAGTCCAATCTTGCAGATACCACTTCCGCCTGACATTGACCTGCTGCTCTGTGCATGCCTAACCTGTAGTGGGGAAGGGAAATGATCCCCCAGGGCA